TGTGAATAGTGTATTGTTTGGCAACCCGGTATTTTAACAGCTCTTGTTTTTGTTTTGTTTTCCGCAACCTGAGATCACAGGGAGTAGGAACAACAGGTTGATTTTGCCAAGACGATCCTGCAACATTGAATGGTTGGTGTAGCAGCAGCAGTAGTAGCAACCACCGCCATGGATGGTATGTCTTCAAGCAGTTCTAGTCAGAGGTGCCGGATGGTATAGTTTTCGTTTGGTTATTGACTTTCAGATTGAAACTCAAACACCGCTGTCAGCTGTTTTGTCTTCTGTTCATCTCGAGGTTCATCTAATGAACGGATAGAGCCCCGATAGGATAAAATGTGGACGAGACTGCCGTCACGGGAGTCTGTGTAACAATTTTGATAACGGAGCTAGAGGATATCATGAACCCGGAAGGGATGAGGACTTTGTCGAGGGTTAAACCACAAATGAAGAGACAGACGACTAACTGGCGAAGAAATCAATTAAAATAATGTGGTTCACTGTAATAGAATTTTATTAGAAGCTTGTGCCATCAGCCAGAGTGTATCATTTTGTCATTTTTTTTGCATTTCAGTTTCAGTAGAGTGAAAATGATACCATAGTTACCTCTATGATAGTAGTGTTGCCATCCGTCTGTCACTTCGTTTATGGTACTACGGTTGTCACCGTATTTTTTGGCGTCATCCCGATCCAAGAGTCATGGGTTTCTCTTGATCGACCTCAACAGCTTCCAGTTCAGCAGCCGATCCAAAGTTCCAGCACGACGTTTGCTTCGACCTTCCGGGCCACACTCTTGCGATCACGGAACCGCTCGAGCACTTCTCCCACAGTAGAAACGGCAATTTTCAACTTTTTCGCTATATTCCGAATTGACCACGTCAGGTTTTCGTCAGGTTAAATTTTCTTTTCTCGTCTTCCATCTGATTCGTACCATCAAAATGATCGCAACTGAACATTTCAAAATTGTAAACAACGTGAAATATCGTCAAAAGGTGGCCAAAACAGGAACATGGCCAATACTGGTGCGTTTCCCCTAGTACACTACTGAAACACGTGTACTTTCAAAACAAATCGCTGTCAAAACATTCAAAATCCGACCACTAGAGGCGCTGCTATAGAATAAATAAAGGGTCCGGATTCGAGTCCGGATTCTAAGTGGTCTAGACTTTATTGCCATTTCAGGGAAAACATTACGACGGAACTGACAGCCGCAGCATGCTATATAAGCTGATAATGGCCCTTATTACCGATGTCACTTCACGGTGAAGTGACAACTTGTCACTCACGGTGAAGTGATTCCCATTTGATTTACACGGCGATCACTTCACCGTGACTGACAAGTGGTTACATCACTTCGTTTTTGCCGTGAAGTCACACGCCAAATGCCAATTTTTCTCTGAATTGGAAATATTGCGCATCTTAAGAAAAATTTCCGTCTGGCAGCTACCGTCAAGGGTATTCTACAGCTGGCAAAACGCCTATATTCAGTGTGAATTGACGTAAATTTTGACGTTCTGGAACCTATGGGATTTGACGGTTTGATACAGAGGTATATTCTTATTGAATGGAAAAATGTACAGGTTGCTTAGATCACCGTAGAGTTCTTCCGCAGCTGTTAAGGTTCTAAAAAAGCTGATAACTAAAAAGAAGCCTAGTTTATGTGACAGCTGCAGTAAATCTTCTTGTTCTTCTTTAAATGAATCCGTAAAACGGAAAGAAAACTCTGGAAACACCACGGTTTTCTTTCACTTATATCTTGAATTAACCTTAATGTTCAGCTGGCATTTAGAGAAGTCTATATTTGTCTGGAGGTCTTGCAGGCTCACTTCAGAGTGCTTCAGGTCGCGTTGTACTTATGGGTATACTTCAAAGACTTTATGGATTAGCTCCAGAGGTCTTTCACTTCTTGTATGACCTCAGGGTTCACTCATCAAGACTTATAGGGCATACTCTAAAGATGAATGGACTTGCTGTAAAATATCACTTTACTTACCCAATAATACCCTTGATATTCTCACTGGAATTAACACAGATCTCAAAACTTGACTTCATAGCTTGGAAATGTTCCACAGAGCTTGTTCTAAAATGCCTCTGAAAGATCTTTGTAGCTGACCTACATGGTTTCTTTACTCAATATTTATGATATTATGGCCTTAGGTGTTTAGGTGTTGATCTGATGGAGATGATCCTAAAACCATTTAGAGCCTTCAAAGTAGTGTACTCCGTAAGGTCTCCGGATCCTCGAAATAACCTCCCCCAACACACAATGACAGTTGAATAAGAGCGTATTCAGCTAAGAAATGGCTTATTCAGCTTTTAATCAGCTCAAATTGTTTGTTGGGCCAACGCTTCTGAAGTTGGCCTAAGATCACCGAAATAGTATAATAGGGTCTCTATACTGAAATCCTACAACCTGTGGAGCTTTGCAAGAGAGTCGCATGCAGAATTGCTTATCCGTAAGGCCTTTCTAGTTAACTTATTTATAAGACCTCCCTAGATGACTCTGGAGATGAGCCATAAGGCCTAAGAATTCGTCACGTAAGCTCTCCGAAGTTGACTAGCATGGTTTGTAGATCTGAGTCGTCAGGACGATGGGCCATTATATTTCCATAGATGATACTTATGGGCAGTGATGCAAAATATCATAACTCTCACGTGACACTCGTCTACGCATCAACCGACTATCGCTGACAGAAGGTTTTGTCACGCAGTGAGAGGCAGAGCCATGGCAAACAACAATCACCAGTAATGGCCGTTGCTCACAAGTAAAACGTTACACTCGCTGCTGATGATGAAATGCACAACGAAAACAGTGAAGACTTCTGCAGTACGATCATGAGAAAAAGTGAAACGACAGAAGAAAATGAAAACAATGCCTACGTATTCCAAGTTCGTCTCGACAGGTGCGACTGTGTGAGCTACAAACAAAGCAGGCACCATTAAACGGAAGCTGTTGGGCTCACTCACCAACACACTCACATAAGCAAGCAAAGCAGCAACTGCTTGAAAACGAGCACAGATGAGTGTCGTGATTGTCGGGAATGACCAGATCGGTGATGGATCACAACCGAAGACGACATTCACCATTTGCATTTTACTTCTTTCGTCAACTTGATGGATGATCATGGAGAGAGCTCCGACGAGCACATCGATAGGAATGTACAAAGCGTTACTACCATCAGCTGTTTGACGATCGTGATTGTGATAGGTTGCAACTCTGCTTATGGGGCCTCAGATAGCCTAGTCAGTAAAGGCACGGTATTACCGAACCGGAGGATTCGGATTCAATTCCAAGGAAATCTTTCGGGTTGGAAATTTTCTTGACCTAAGACATTTGAAGGTGACACATGAGGCTTCTGAAATGTAATTGTTAGGCCTAAAAACTTCGATAAGATCCTTTAATTAGACTTTCCAGATCTTTGAAGGCCCCTAGACTGAAGTCATAAGAACTGTGGACCTATGCCAAAAGGTCTCCGAAGTTTTCCAAAAAAGTTACCAGAGAGTATTTGCTATAAATCCATGATATTTTTGTAATTTATGATTTAAGGACCTACAGAGTTGACCCATAGGATCATTCCGTAAGGTGTTTAGAGTTAATTCGTTGGAATTGATGAACCATCGTATTGCTATAGTTGACAGCAGAAATTGACTCATTAGGAATGTGGACTTATTACGTGAGTTCTCCAATCTATGATCTTCGAATTAGACTCCCCAACCTTCTCAAGGTCATTAAAGATATTCAAACTTGATCTATAAGGCCTCTAGCCTGAACTCGTAATGCATGTGGATCTATACGAGTCGTTGATCCATAAGACCTTTGCTATGAACTCATAGTTCTCCTCTTAAGATTGCTGTAGACAATCCATTATATATCCCGCAAGCTGTCTATAGGTGACCAGTACGGTTTGTAGATTTTATTCATAAGGATTATATTTCTATAGAGGAGGCTTAAGGCATTCGAAGTTGACCCATAAGGCTTATTGACTGAACCCATAAGGTTTCTGGAAATCACTTATCAGATAAGGGCTCCGATTCATTAGATCCTCAAATTAAGATCACCGAAATCGATCGAAGACTTCTAGACTGAAATCACATCCAACTTCACCAAAAGGTCTCCGAAGTTGACTAAAAAGACCGGAATTGACCCATAAGATCGATGATCTAAGACCTCAGGACTTATCTCGCAAGCTGTCCAGAATTGACCCATAAAGTTCTAGAAATTTCAGAGCCTATCTGATATGTGAACATATCTCGTAAGATCTTCCTAGCTAACTCATATGTGATAATGTTTACACTGTTTTCATGAAATAAATTTTCCCTAACCCAGACGTCATAATCGAGTACCACTTGGTGCGTCCATTTTCGCAACGGGCTATGATGCGTAACTATGATGCTAACTATCAAAATATTGAACAGGAGGAGAACCTGTATCCGAGATTTTGCTCTGATTTTGAAATTCCCCTTAATTTCAAATAATGTTGTTCTAAGCACCTACTTATTGGAAACCAAACGTTTGATTTGAGAAAAGTCACTTCTACTTCTACTGTATTTTAAATCAGTATCAAGAAAACTGCGCGAGAAGTTCACTAAACCTGGAAAAACGCATTTCTAATCAAATCTAAGCGAATAAAGACATCCGCGTAGATCCCAAAAACCACGTAAAACAAAACTTTGTAAATTCCAAAATCCACGAAAAGCCGTGTAAAAAGAAACACAAACCACTGTCACATTCAGACTGCTCAGCCCAGCATAGTTGTCCCATTCATTAAAACAACAATATGGAAAAAATGCTGTTGAGAGCCATCTCATCCACTTTGGCCCCAAGCAATGCTCCCCAACACGGACATCAAAATCAATGGAGGTGTTCAAAAAACCTCCCAAATCCCCATGGCTACATGTCCCATAGTTTCAGCACTATTCTCACAACTCGTATCGCAACCCCGAATCGGCTGAACCCACCCAATTAGCTCGCTTTCCCCCCCCCCCCCGCACGCTCGTTTTAATTTAAAAATATGCTTCTTTCCTATCTCTGACGACACCGATACACTCACGCTCGCACACTCATCCTTCCTGTTCGGTTTTTAAATATATTTACAAAGTTATTGCACATTCCACCTTGACTCCATCGGCTGCAACTTTCTCTCGTTCTCAGTCAGTCATGAAACACAATTCCCACCCTCCGCCCCCACATTCGCACTCATACTCTCACTGGCTAAAATCGCGCAAGCTTCGTAGGAGAAATCCTCGCAACGCAACGCGCTAACTTTCCCTAGGTAATAACGCGGAGAACTAACTATACAGCTCAGTTGTAGTAGTAGTAGTCGTAGTAGTACACAGTAGTAATAGTAGTAGGTCTTCTCTCCCGGAAAACCCAACCTTAATCAGCTTTAAAATCTTATCTCGTAAATGCACGTAGAGCTTTGGTTCGCAGAACAAAGCACAGAGTTTGGCTTCTCCTAATGTTTAGTGTAATCAAATCCCCCCCTTTTTTTTCTTTTTCTTAGAACACCATACCTTCCCAGTGGGGTCCAGCATCCATTCCTGTATTGACGATCCCGGAGCCCGTCAAAGTTGTCATGTTCCGTCATTTTTTTGTTTTGTTTTGTTTTGGGTATGCATTTTTCATTGGGTTCAAACCTCGACCCCGTATGTCCGATCAACGTCGTCGTACGAAAACTGGCATCCCTTGCTGTTCGCAGAGGAGGAGGACGGTGGTTCCGCGCTGGGATCCACCGGTTTGGTTGGAGAATTACACGAACTGGTCGACAGGTCTTCGCCATCATCCTGCTGCAGGATATCGGCTGGCAGTTCCGGCACGGAAACTCCCCGGCGGGTGAAGAAGGCCATCTTTTCTCTGTAAATAGAAGAATTCCGGTTAGGCTCCGAACTAGGTGCTGATCGCTCCAAGAAGCGTACTTGAACGAAATTAGATCCAGCTGCCCCTTGCCGGCTTTGGTTTTTCGTAGCTTGTAGATCTCCTTGGAGGTCTTGTGCAGCAGTTTGGCCAGGTGCTTCTCCTCCGGCGTCGTCGCACTGCCGGCGCTCTTGATCAGCTTGAGGAAGTCTTCGTTCTCCAGCGCCCAGGTGGCCACCTTGACGTCGTTGTTGTCCCTCGCCAGCTCCAATCGTTTCTTCAGATCACGCAGCCGGCCGATCTCGTCCGTCAGGGTTTCCAGCTTCGTTTGCTGCGCTTTCAGATCCAGTTCCAGATCCAGACTAGTACGTGGCACTGCCGGGTGCATTTCTGAAATGAGAAACAGCCGCTGAGTAACTGGAATTGGAGGATCTGTCTCCGACGGGGGCTACTTACTGTGGTACACCTTGAGAGTTCGGCTGTGATACCGCAGGGACCGTCGCTCGACGGCCCCCCGCTTGAACGGATGCGGCGTCACGGGGTTGTTGAAGTGCATGGCCGAGTCCGAATCGCTTCGGTTCAACCGGCAGATGTAGCGGGCCTTGCTGGCGACGGCACTGTTTGAGAAACAAAACACATTAGTCACACACTGGATTGCAACAGACCAACGATACCCACCTTGGCGAAAAGGTTTGCGACCGCTTCACGAGCCGATCGTCGATGACTGCATTTTCATCGATCGTGCCGTTACTGCTGCGGGCCGGATCGTGCAAACGCCGGCGGCCCTTCTCCGGCAGGAAGGCACACTCCGTGTTCGTTTCCTTGTCGACCTTCTCGACGGCGGCCAGCGCGATTGCCTCTGCGACGTCGTCCACCTCGGAAGCGACCGTACCCTTTACGCTATTCATGTACTCCTCCAGCATCAGTTGCGTTGCCGCTAGAAATGCAAAAATGGGGGGATTGATTAGCACAGGTGTCGTCGAAAGCTTTGTTTGTTTCAGGAAGCCAACTGATGAACTTCAGTTGCGTTTCAGCTTAAACTTAGGAAGTCAATTGAAGTTCAGAGATCCCGGAGAGTTCAAACAACTTTCACAGAGAAATTCGGAACACTTCTACCAGCAATCAATACGAAAATAACGATCTTAAATTGAGTAATCAATACGAAACTAACGATCTACTTGACTAGTCCATTGGTCCCAAGTACAGCTATAAGCATATCCCATTCTCGTACTAGAATCGGTCAAAGTTTGTGTTTGTTTTGATCTCGAGGGGGACGTGCTGTCTAATCAGCCTACTAATCATTTTGGTATGAAATTGGTTCCAAACTTAAACAAACTGTGTAGGTTTATTATGGCTTGTTTACGTTTGGAACCAGTTAAACGAGGTAGGCGACGATTGTCCGTATTTGACTGCCACATCCATCCCTGGGTTTTGAAACGCCTCATAAATTTGACAGAGTTTAATGAGGATTCGTGGATTTTTCTACGAATCGAGGGGTGCTTCAATTAGCTTTGGACCGAAGGTCTGGTACTTCCTAAGCCAAAAGATTCAGCATTTTTCTTCGAAACCACCTGGTCTTAGTGTTAGCAACCGATGGAAACTAACGGTTTTAAATTGGCTCACTACTTGACTAGCATATTGGTCCCAAGCAAATCGATTAACGTACCCCATTATAGTCGAAATTCTAGCACTACACTATGTTTGTTTTGATGCGCTATGAAAGTTTGACAGATAAAATGAGGGGTTCGTGGATTTTCCTATGTTTCGAGGGGTGCATCGATTAGCTTGGGACCGAAGAGAGTACTAGAGCTGAGCCAAAAAGTTGAACACGTTTCTTCGGGACCTTCTGGTCTTAGAGTTACCTCTATGCTTCTACGGCAAATTTAGAAAAGCAGAAACAAACTAGAGAATTTCCAGAGAAGCCCAGATCTTCCGAGGTAAGACTAAGAAAGGTACCTCTTGTAACAGATGCGGAAACTTCTTTGCGAAACTCCGTGGAATATTTAACCGCTTGGGAGAACGTTCAGAAATCTTCCATGGGTACTTCTGTAGATTGTCTGAAGAAATCAAAATCCTTCCGGAACCTCTTGCGAATGCTTTGGAACTGTTCAGATATTCTTTAGGACTGCTCAGAAAATTGCCATGGTAAATCCAAGTTATGTCTTACCGCCAGTTGAGAAAACCCTCACAGAAATATTTTATTGTTGTTGATATTAGGTAACACCTGGTGAATGGTCAAGGAAGTCCACGTTACATCTAAGTCAAAATCAAGAACCTTCTGGGGTAAGAACCTTCCAGGTAGGTGTTCGGGGAACCTCTGGGATAAACTCCGGGAATGTCGAGACGGATTCGGAAACTTTATTGAGAAGTTAAGGAGGCTTTCAGGAAAACATTCTTAAGAATATTCCACGAAATCTTTCAAGAAAGCTCTAGTAGCCTTCAGGGCACATTTAAAGGAGAAGCAGAGAACCCTGAGGGAAAGCTTACAGACCATTCATTGACAATTCAGGGAACTTCAACGGTAAGTTCTGGGAACTACTTGAATGGAAAATTCGAAAAATCGCTTGTACGGAAACCTAAGGTGCCTTCTAAGGAATGGTCAGCGAAGCCCAGCAAACATCTAGGTAAAAATCAACTATATTCCGTGGTGAGCTAAGGGAGAGCAGCTCCAGGACAACTGACGAAAAATGTCGATAGGACATAGGGTCGAAAGGACAAAGGGTCGAAAGGACAAAGGGTTGAAAGGACAAAAGGGTCGAAAGGACAAAAGGGTCGAAAGGACAAAGGGTCGAAAGGACAAAGGGTCGAAAAGACAAAGGGTCGAAAGGACAAAAGGGTCGAAAGGACAAAAGGTTCGAAAGGACAAAGGGTCGAAAGGACAAAGGGTCGAAAGGACGAAGGGTTGAAAGGATAAAGGGTCGGAAGGACGAAGGGTTGAAAGGATAAAGGGTCGGAAGGACAAAGGGTCGAAAGGACAAAGGGTCGATAGGACAAAGGGTCGATAGGACAAAGGGTCGAAAGGACAAAGGGTCGAAAGGACAAAGGTTCGAAAGGGCAAAGGTTCGATAGGACGAAGGGTCGAAAGGACAAAGGGTCGAAAGGACAAAGGGTCGAAAGGACAAAGTGTCGAAAGGACAAAGGGTCGAAAGCACAAAGGGTCGAAAGGACAAAGGGTCGAAAGGACAAAGGGTCGAAAGGACAAAGGGTCGAAAGGACAAAGGGTTGAAAGGACAAAGAGTCGAAAGGACAAAGGGTCGAAAGGACAAAGGGTCGAAATGACAAAGGGTCGAAAAGACAAACGGTCGAAATTACAAAGGGTCGAAAGGACAAAGCATCGAAAGGACAAAGGGTCGAAAGGACAAAGGGTCGAAAGGACAAAGGGTCGAAAGGGCAAAGGGTCGAAAGGACAAAGGGTCGAAAGGATAAAAGGGTCGAAAGGACAAAGGGTCGAAAGGACAAAAGGTCGAATTCAACTTAGAAGGACAAATGGAAATTCAGGTGACCTTTAGCATAAATTCTAGGAACTATAGAGGATTTATGAAGCTCTTCAGAGAACTTACAAAGGAAGTTCAGTGAACCTCCGTTAGAAGACCTCCACGAGAAATTGAGGGTAATCTATAAGAAAATCTGGGTTTTAGGACAAAATGTCGAAGGACAAAAGGTCGAAGGACATAAGGTCTAAGGGCAAAAGATCAAAGGACATAAAGTCGATAGACAAAAGGTCGAAGGGACAGAAGGGTGAATTGAACTTAGATGGACGATTTTAGAAATTTCTCCATACCTTTGAGTAGGAGTGACTCTCTCTTTCTGAGTTATACTCAGAGGCCGTGCACGCAACTTCAAGGAGAAGCCCAGGGATACTCAGGCAGACGATTTTGAACTTCCAAAAATGGTTAATGGAGCTTTGAGCAGCTGTCTAAGAACTTTACTTAGAACCCTTTTGAGGCTAGGAAACCTTTATGATATTTCGAAACTCTGCAAAAGCACATCCACGGAATTCCAAAATTACTGTCGTAGTCCTCCGTGAAAAGTTCTTGAAAACTGTTTTGAAAGTCAATTTATCAGTTTATTCTATATTCGCACACAAACCCTGCTAGACATAGAATTAAATGATTTTTTAATAACAATGAACAAAGAATTATTGGCTCCGTAAAGCTAATTTGATTGAGCCTTAAAAACTGAACTAGATAAAAAATCAGCTTATTATTCTGAACATACCAGCATCTTACTGAAAACACTTCTAATTCACGCTTCTCTGGTTAGTTTCTGATATTTATGTAATTCGTAGTAATCAGACAATTCAGACAAACTTTTAGATGTAAAAAAATTTCACAAATCAAAGCTACCTTTGGTGAACATTTCAGGGAATCATTCAAGCAAACCCACACCCAATAGCTCCGAAGCATGTTGCATAACACAACCTTACCTTGACTGGCAGCCTCCTCGTCGATCACCACCAGCACCTCTTCCTCCTCCTCCTCGTTCTCCCCTTCCTCTTCCTCCTCTTCCTCCTCCTCCTCCTCATCTTCCTCGTCCTCGTCGCAATCCTCCACGCCCAGCCCGTCGTACACCATCTCCAGCACTGCCTGCAGTTCTTCCTGGCCTTGGTTCCGCGTCAGCGTCGACGTCTGGGACGAAATGATCGTCGAATCGTCGGATGATTCCTCCTTAATACCCGCCGAGCAGCCCTCCAGCCCGTCCAGCTCGTTCATCGACTTCCGGCTGATGATGTTGTACCACTTGCTGGTGCCGTCCGTCGGGATGAACTCTGCCAAGCTGATTTGCGCACTACCGACCCAATCCTCCCGCTGTCCGCCGACGATGATCATCACCTTGATGTGCAGCGATTTCGTGTACACCTTCTCCAGGGGCAGCTGCGTTAAGAGCGACGTCCGGAAGACCGGCTTCACAAAGTCCGTCACGCTGTTAGTTCGAATGAAGGGAGTCGCCGTACCGGGCAGAAGAATAGCCCGGATGAACAGCTGGCACCCGTCCGGTATGCAGAGAGCCGTCAAGTTCCGTCCCTTCTCGATCGCTATACGCAGGGTACTGTCTGCCGTGGTGTACCGTATGCCGATCTGAATCTGGGCGCACTCTTTGTTGGTGAGCAGGGCCCGTGACGCTTCAAAGACTCCCGAATCGCCGGCCACGGATTCGTCACTCACCGTGGTCGAGACAGACCGGGTATTGGAGGTGGAAGACGACCGACTCAGAATGACGGCAGGTGGGATATCTAGGTACGAAGGTTTCTCGTAGATTGGCGAGAGCGGGGCGATTGCGAGCTGACGAATCTTAAGATCCTGCAGCTGCTCTTCCAGTCTCTGTTTGTCCAGATTGTACTCGGAGTTGTAACTCGGCGCTGGAATGTTGTACGGAGCGGAACTCTTACTGGACGACGCTTCGCCGCCATTCCATTCCATCTTCATGGGAGAGGCAGGTGGAGTCTCTAGAGATAAGCTGCTACGTGGCGATAACGACACTTCCGAACTGGGGTGGAATAACCGCTGAACTCGCCGGTTGATGTCGACCATGTCGATTTGGGGTTCCGTCGAGAGTGGATCACCATAGATGTCGGTAAAGCTAAGCCCACTGAGTGATCCTTTGCTGCTCGCCGTTGATAGAGATCCCAAGCTGGAGCTACTGCTGATGGAGAGGGTGCTAGCGGACAGGGATTTGAGTTGGTTTTCGAGGTGAGTGAACTCTTTGAGCGCTTCCAGGAGCTTTTGAAGTAGGGCTTGTTTCTCTTCGTGCAGCTTCAGCCGGGTCGCTATGCATTGGTTGGACTCTTCGTACGCCATGTTCAGATCTGCTTCCAGCTTCTTGCAGATGCTCTGTATCCGCTTCATCTCGGTTTGCGATCGGGATTTGGGCGTAATGCTACGGTACTCGAGTAGGAGTTGTTTCTTCTCTTGGAACAGTAGCAACCGATCCTGGTCGGATTCAACCTCTCCGGGTCGGATCTTTTCCTCCAAAGCGGCCAGCTTTTCCTGTATCTCCTTGACTCGCCTTCGCCACTCGTCGTACCGTTGGCGCATCTTGGCCATCTCCCGGGCTCCCATCGGGAAGCTGTCCGAACATAGGTCCGTTTGGGAAGCGGCGCACACCCGATCCTGCGCCAGGTTGAAAGTGGACGCATCCGGGCTCTCTTGCCGCAGCTGAAGCCTCGTCAGATCGTCCTTGACCTGCGCCAGGCTCTTCATCAGTTCCTTCTTCTCCTTCTCGCCCGTTATCAGAGATTTCTGAATCATCTTCACCTCCTCCAGTATGGCTTGGGCCTCGGTTATGTTGTAGCAGCCGTTGATGTGGGAGTTCAGCTTTTGCTCGACACTGAAACGGAAAAAATGGGGAAGGGGGATTATTTAGGTTTTCACTGCGGTTTTACGCTTGTGGACTTACCCAGACAGGGTATCGACTCCCTTTTGAGTATTATGCATTTCTGTCTGTATCCGGGACAGTTCCTTCTTGAGTCGGAACACGCGCTCCTTGGCCAGTGCGAGGTCCGCTCGCAGCAGTTCTGGATCGAACTTTGTACTACATGAGCTTGTTGAAGAACATACTGTAAGGAAGGAAAGAGAGCGAAGGTCATTTCTGCAATGTTCAAACCGAAGGAAATTGGACACTCACAACTAGTTCTACTGGCGGCCAGGGCATTGAGGTGGTTGTACTCCTCCTGTGCCAGGTGCAGCCGCTGCGTTTTCACGTTGAAGATCTCCTTCTTTGCCTCCAGTGTGTCCTGTGCGGAGCAGAGATATTCGCGAAGCATCTCCTCCTGCTTGCTTTTCCACTCCAGCCGCGGGTCCTCGAGCTGGGTCGCTTGCGAGTTATGGTTAATGTAGTAGGTCCCGATTTGCGGGTCGTAACCCTCCTCCCAGCCGAAAGGCAGCTCATTTCCGATGCAGTCGGCAAACGTTTCTGGCTTGGTGAGTCTGAGCGAAAAAATAAGAAGGAGGGGAAAATTCGAAATTAGATTGGAAATGCATCACCTTTAAGGGGGGATGGGAAATTCGAGGTAAAAATAGTCACACGGAATAACCTCAACTCCGACGGCGCATCATCATCATCAGTATAGCCATCGTGCGAAGAAGAAATATGTGCTTTGCTCGTCATCAGACCAGAACGAGATATTTTATTAAGCGCGAAGTATACGTAGGGGAGATGGGGTAAAATTCGCATGCTAAGGAAGATCCCCGTTTAATCCACAAAGTGAATCGATATGTAAGTGCAATGCTATCTATATGTTGAATTGGGATTAGGTTATTGGCAAGATATTACAATTGATATGCGTAAAGAAGATTGTTAAATTCTTGTTTAACCTGTATTCGAAATACTGCGGGGCAAAATGAGCATAGTGATTTCATGCACAGGAAGCATACATTAAGGCTTTATCTATGTTATTTCGCAATTGAATTTCGAAGGTTCACGCCTGATGGTTATGCTTTCATTTGCATTAACTTAACATTTTCCATCAATCAAATCGTTAATTTTGGAAGTGTTCTGAGATAGTTTCAAGAAATTTCTATTCTTGCGTGATTTTCTGCTAAAAATTTTCAATTTAATAAATTTCCAACGAATTTCTTCTAACTGGTTCACCGTATGGTAGCAATTTTTCGACATCATATCAACTAACAGCTAAGATAGACGGGAGGCACATTATTCCCGCCATGGGCATTTCACACCCGTTTCCCCTACGCCACAACAGGGGAGGGAAACTCTTTCGGCGAGAAATTCTTGGTATGCGAAATATTTCCTCGAACTTTAAACAAACATTTTCCCCCGAACCGAGCTGAGCGGTACCGTTGCTGCTTACTGTAGGTATTCGTGACGATGACGACTGAGCTGACTACCGCGAAGGCGATAGAGAAGACTGCGGAAAAACGTTTCCCTTGACTTGCCGATGTCGGTAGCAGAAAGTGGAATGCGTGACTCATCGGGATCCCGTGCGTGGCCTCGAAGGGGTTTGGTAAACATTATCAGGAGGTCCTTAGAAAGAGGTTGGAAATTCATCCGAATGGGACGGGCAGAGGCGGAAACAATTGAGTTTGACGTTGATGACATTTGACGGGATAGATTATTCACAGCTTATGTTTTTTTTATGTTTTCGTCATAATTCTCATTTGTTGCTTTCGTCTTTTTAACTGTCAACCAAATACCGCGCCAAGTGACCGAGAAAAAATACAAAAATGTAATTGACCTCTTACGATTTGGATCAAATTTGGAGGAGATGTTCATTTTAAGAATCCAAATGTTTGAACCTCTCGGTCCAGGCGAGCATTTTCAATTTTTTGTTATTTCCACGATAGCACTACCATAGAGGTAACTCTAAGACCAGAAGGTCCCGAAGAAACGTGCTCGACTTTTTGGCTCAGCTCTGGTACTATCTTCGGTCCCAAGCTAATCGATGCACCCCTCGAAAGAAAGGAAAATCCACGAACCCCTTATTGTATCTGTCAAACTTTCATAGCGAATCAAGACAAGCATATTCTAGTTCTAGAATTTCGATGAAAAAGGGGTACGTTCATCCTTGTACTTGGGACCGATAGGCTAGTCCAGTGTGAGCCAATTTTAAATCGTTAGTTTCTACAGGTTTGCACTACCTTCTTTTATCAATATTTACGGAATATTTAAAGCTACAATTAATATTGTAGAATGTCTTAATGAGAAAATTAGACAAGGAATCTACATATAAATTTGTTATTTTTGTACAGTGTTGCCAAATATTTCATGTTTGAGTTAAAATCCTAAAACGCAATTTTCTCAGAATGAGTATATTTAGAATTCCAATCCGACAGCACCTCATCCTTTTTTACATAAGAAATTCTTATCGAAAAAAAGTAAATTGCGTATTTCCTGAGATACAGCATTTTTAAGTTAAGAATGTCAAAAACTATGAGAAAAAACATGCGTTCAATGTTTCTTTCCGCCCGCTCTTCGCAGTAAGAGAACTAATTTTTCTCGCCTACTGTTTCAAATGTTTTTTGAAGCAATAAACATGAAATCGAGTTAAAATAAATTTACAGTGATGCCAAATTTAAGTTTAATTTTCCAACTAAAAACATTAATGGAATTTGTCGTGCTTTCTATTTGATATTATAGCATCGTCGTGTTCCGCAGTCTTTATAAGATAAAAGATAAATTAAACAAAAAAGTTGAAAGTAATGTTGCTGTGGTATAGAGTTTTGGTAGTGAAATACAAAACATGACAAGGAGGAGTTAATTTTATTTTTATTTTTTCAAAACAAATTAAATTACTCTCCAGACACATTCTTTGGAATGGTAAACATTTTAATTTCTTTATTACCTCCATTCAGAGGCGTCACGTGACTCATTTTTTTACCTGTGTACCAAACTTTGTTCGTTATAGTTTACCACAACATATAAGTTTTTGTTTTTTTTTTTTTCAATGCTCCGTGAATTCAAGGGACATATTCTCAATTACTATATTAATCACCACCTAACGTAACATTTGAAGGGCCTATCATCTAGTGTAAACAAAACTTGTATGGCCCTTTTCGCACTAACCGAAGTAGGAGGAATTGCAAAACTTAAATAACTCTCGTTTTTATCACAAGGTTAACTCTTTCGACTGAAGTGTAATGAAGAACATCCGTCAAACACTTCCGAAAATATTTTTTGATACAGAACAGTGTCAAAATCTACAGAAAATTCATGAAGTCCCCTGGGTAGCAAACTTGAATTAATCAACTCTTTATTCATCATAACAACACTATCAGAATGAACCAGGGGAAGCTAATAAGTTTTGAAAGGCGCACCGGCGCAACCATCGATAATTGAGAGATTTACAACTGACAAGAGAGCGAGAGCGAGCCTTTGCGCTCTCACTCTCCATTACTTTCTTTGCCTGCAATCAGATATCAAAGTGCACAGTGAGAAATGCACGCTTTAGGCACCCATACATTACAAATCCGGAGAATTTTGAGATTTGGGCGTAATTGCTTTTGTAAACAAACACGTCAATCACCGATTTCGTGCGAATAAAAGAACAATCTAGCAAACAAACTACACCAAATGGTAGAGGAACCACTCCTTTACCTGTTTGTGTATTAGTTTTTGAGGTTGAGCTTCAATTCGCGAGAAATTGTCAAATCGTCGTGTTTACAAAAGCAATTACGTCTTAATCTCGAAGTTCTCCGGAAATGGTGTTCTAATTTCAACTCACACAATCAAACAGATCTGCAAGTATGATACACGTCCAAAGCGTACCAGACTGCTGTTTCCGTGTTGCTCCCGTTTGACGCGTGACTGCTGAAAGTTTTAATTATAACTAATGCTGCAAACCGTCATGTATTGTGGAAAATTTGTGGTATGTTTCAAGCGGTGATAGAAGGTCTGCTTGGCCTACATCAGACATTTGACCATTCACAAACTTGCCACCCGCTACCCAAAAATGCTCGCTTTTAGGTGCACTATTTAACAAGTTTTGTCATGGTAGTGCTATCGACATGCTTAGAAATCAATGCATTAGGGATTAGGAAGACCATCCGAACTGAATTTAATCCTTTTTGAAGCAAACCAAGGTCGAAGATTTAATTGAGCCACATTATAAAATAGTGTATTCATGGTCACTTGTGGTCTGGAGTAAAGAAGTACAGCTATAATGTGACCATACAATCTATAAACATCTAACCGCATTTTTTTTTTTAATTATTTACCCCTGTGTCGTGCACAGGTTGCACATGTGGACGCGACGCCACTGCCTCCATCTACAGAGGGTCTGGTATAAGAGAGGAGTGGACTGGCTGGCACTCCTCTCTTATACTAGAACCTCTCTCCATCGTCTTGATCCAAAGTCAATTATCACAGACAAACAGGCAAAATGCTTAATATAATGATTATCTTCACTAAACGGTTAGTTTAATTATTTGGTAAAGGGTAGCGTTTCCACAGGCAGCACAATTTGCCATCTACTATTCAGTTTTCTGTTTGAACACTACCACCATTTGTTGAGTATTGTGCCTTCGACAGTCTAGTCAAAATATGGCAATAGTGCTTTTTGGACGATGTTTTAAAGCTCGATTCAAAGTAAATCTGGACGCACGGTTTAATACACCACCGCGCCCCTGGTGGTTGGAACAAAAAACGTTTGAAAGGCATTTGTTGTTGTTTCATTGACGAAGAAATTGGCGAAAAGTTCCCAAAGTCAACGGTGAGTCTTGTAATCAAACGTTACAAGGATACTCTGAGTGTGGATAGAGCACAGCGCATCTATCATAAAAGTGGCACTAGGGACAAAGAGCGGATGAGAAAGGTGTTGAGGTACGTGAAAAGCAACCCAGGTGACTCCTTTCAAGAGAAGGATATAAGTCTTTTTGTGCCAGTAAACATCCGAATCGCTCCCTGAAACTAAATTTGGTGGCCAAAAAGCGAGCAGGATTACACTATACGAACGAGTTTTTACGAAATTTGATGGCTGTATTTTAATGGATGACGAAACATATGTCAATTATAAATAAATACCCGGACGAAAATTTTACCTGGCAACTGGTCGTGGGGATGTCCCTTCCAGGTATAAATTTATTTTTGCTGATAAGTTTGCTCGGAAACTAATGATTTGGCAAGGAATCTGCAGTTGTGGCCTTAAAACCAAGGTTTTCATCACATCTCATACAATGAAGTCGAAGGTTTACATTAAAGAGTGTCTGAAAAAGCGGATTTTACCCTTCATTCGGCAACACAAGACCAACGTTATGTTTTGGCCGGATCTAGCCAGCTGCCACTACCATAGAGGTAACTCTAAGACCACTGGGTCCCGAAGAAAATCATTATTATTCTTGGCTCACTCAGTACCAGAACAACGGTCCCAAGCAGTCCCAAGCTATTTCACTCACCCCTGCATGTTCTGCATGAATCCACACACCCCTGATGTTATCTGTCAAACTTTCATAGCGAATCAAAACAAACATAGTGT